GGGGCAAGAGACAGTAGGAAAGTTGATGGAGCTAGAGCGGCCGAGCAAACCTGACACTTCTTTTCTGTCTTTCTTCCCCTTCTCTTCTTCCTGACCACCAGAGTCATCCTACACACCACCATCCGATGCTGTCTGGCTACACTTTCTCCTACCACCACCTCCACTCATATATGTAACTATGTTCCTCCCTCTTCTGGAAATGGGTGTTTACTACAGCCATTTCCATCCTCTTAGCAAAGTCCACCACCATCTGTCCTTCTAGGTTCCTTCCCTTAACACCAAACCTGCCCATCACCTCCTCATCACCTTTGTTCCCCTCACCAACGTGCCCGTTGAAGTCTGCCCCAATCACCCCTCTCTCCCCTCTGGGAATACTCCCCCATCATCTCATCTAACTCACTCCAGAATCTCTCCTTCTCTTTTACCTCACACCCTACTTGTGGAGCATAACCACTGAATACATTCAACATTACCCCTTCAATTTCCAACTTCAAACTGATCACCCTGTCTGACACTCTTTTCACCTCTAAATAATTCCTCACAAGCACCTTCAGGATCACTCCTACCCTTCCTGTCCACACCATAATAAAACAGTTTGTATCCCCCTCCAATGCTATGTGCTTTGCTACCCTTCCACCTGGTCTCCTGCACACACAGTATATCTAACTTCCTTCTCTCCATCATGTCAGCCAGCTCTCTACCTTTCCCTGTCATTGTGCCAACATTAAGAGTCCCTATTCTCAGATCTATACTCCTGCCTTTCCTCTTCTCTGTCTACAAATCCTTCTACCTCCGCTGTTAGGGTTGAGTCCCCCTCACCAGGAGGGTGAGGGAGAACTGAGGTAGGACTCAAGATGGCTGACCCAGGTGCTAGTAAAAAACAGGTGGTTTTGATGGTGGGGCTTGCACAAAGAAACAGAGGCAATGAATACATACAACCTGGGGCTGAGCAAAGACAGCTGAGGAGAAGAGGACGGCCAAGGGAGTAGACAGACTAACCACAGGAACCAGGAGAGGAGGACGTACAAATTGTGATCCACAGCACAGGTCCTGTCAGCGTGGAAAACAAAAGACGTTCCATACATACCACGGATAAAGGTCTGTCACTGGGTATGCCAGTTACAGTAGTTATGTACACAAACACATGTAAATAACGTGATAACAGAAATCAACAGCACAGTCACTGTCAGCGTTGAAATCTAGAACACGTGTCTTGAGTAATGCTCCGGTGACGGCGGAGTGTCCGACCAGAGGTATAAATAAGGTAAGGAAATCATTACCTAAGGCGCAGATCCCACAAAAAAAGAGAAGACCAGGAGAGAGAAAAGAAAGAGAGGCAGGTTGCGCCGAGCGGACCCCCCCCAAAAGGCGGGATCCCAGACCGCCAAAAGAAAAACCCCATAGCAAAAAGAACAAAAACAGTGCGCATAGTCCAAAAGAAAAAGGCAGGGGCGAAGAAGGCCGTTCAGGAGGGCGACCTCGGCGCCAGGCTTGAGAGCGTAGCGGCCGTTCAGGAGGACGACCTCGGCGCCGAACTGAGGACCAGATGGGGCGGTGGCTGCAGCCCAGAGGCAGGGGGCGGGGTGG